CATGGACAAATTAATAATAAGAAAAGCTCAATCTTCTTTGACACAGAAGTCACTTCCATGCAAACAATAAAACCGAATTTTATTACACACAAAACAAAACCCGACATATCCTGTTGATTTGTGGGCAAACTTAAGGGACACAGCAAACAAAATATTTTTTTTTAGAGAAACTAATATTAGTAATTTGAAACACGTGTCAGCACTCAGTAAACTATTAAGTTTTGTTGTCTGTTTCTTAGTTTATTTAACGACGCTTTCGTAACCGCATATAATACAGAGTCGAGTGACAGCTGCGAAGGATTTGAAAACCCACCGTGCTTCAGTTTAAGGAGCTAACCGGGAATTCGCATGAAGTTGCTGGCGAAAAATACGAAAACCCAGACGGATGTTGGCCTTTGAGCAGTTAAGAGTACCCGTCTCTCCTAAATACGAGAGAACCGTGCGTGTGTGTGTGTGTGTGTGTGCACCCAGTTTATCTGAGCGACAAAATAAATTTTAACCTATTTTTAATGTAGGCAAGGGAGAGTAATGACTGTTTTAACTGTACTTTATGAGCGATATCTAAACTTTCCTACACTTTACAGTTTAAATAACTGTGTTAATGGCGTGCTGTACTCATTCACGGATTTCAAACGCTTCTTAAATTGCATATATAACAGGGCCTTGTAACAAAGACATTTTTTTTTAAAATGACGCAGGTATTTATATAACCATATTCAGCAACATTTATTGGCTACAAATATAATACTGAAGAATTTAAAAAATTAAGTACCGGATTATAAATAATTGTCATGGACACCATACATAACGCCTCATTACTGACCCTTTCGCGTATGCATCTGCCGAGCTGCTATTTAGCCGACATAAATTTTATCAAATATCAAAACTATTGTCAAGCATATCAATTAACGCGAAGAAAAGAATGTATTTATCATAATCTTGTCCATAAGCCGACGTCATAATGAATGAAGTGGAGCCATCAAGCCTATCACAGAAAGCATCAAGTTTCAAAGCTTCGATATCATTAATGCTACCCTGAGGCTTAAATAATTATCACATTCACACTTCCTCTCACAAGTACGACACAACACAAATTCCTTGAAAATAAAATGCAATATTAAATATCGTACCGATTATAAAATATGGTGCATGAACAGTGTCTTCAAATACAAAACCAGTGCATATATTACATACATATATAAACCGTCACACAACAGTGAAAAATATTTCAATAAATACTCGTACGTCAATCACACAGAATCTTTGCTTTTTGTGCTGTAGGTTAAAATATCAAATACGTTTTGTTGGGATATTAAACAAGTATGCGTGGTTTAAGTCCTCACTGAAGTAATATGTATATAAGTGAAAACCGCGATAGTCATAGACATTACAAAAAAGGAATGAGTTTTGACTTCCACAATAAACTACAAACTTCTTGTAAGACTTGAGGTTCTCACAGCGGTGAATATGAAGATTTCTGTCTTCTGGGTTATTGCGCTGTGTAGTCTCTTCTTCATTCGAACATTGCATCTAATATGCTTCAAACCCGAGCCTACTCAATGGATTGCAATTAAATTTGGTACGACGAATTATATTCAGGCCTGTATCGGCACAACATAACTCCAAATTCACAAGAAGCTCAAATAGAACATTAATTATAGTCAAGCAAACAGATCATCGCATAAAAATATATACATAACGAAAAGTATTGCAATTAAAAGTGTTACTTGAAATAATAATCGCTATGGTGTACACAGATTTGAAGTACATGAACGTGGTGGCCAACGAGGTGTGCAAATCTCACACAGCTCATTCTAAAAACGTGTGCGCTCGAAAATGGAGTACGAATTTCCATTCTTGTCTGCAACTAAGCAGCTAATAAGTTAGGTTACCTGAGAATAAGCAATGAATTGAACTTCCGGCATTTGAACTTGTGATCGCGTAACTTTCATTATCGCCAAATGCAATGTTTAGTTTCGATTAGTACTGAAGACCAACTCCCTGGTAGTAGAACCCGCAGGTTCAACACCGGCCACGATCCTGAGCCAACTCCACCCATTTGTCATCCTCACAGCCCACCTCCCTAAAGAATGTTTCGAAAATTAATGGACAAGTCTAAAATGTACAAATATCGTACTTATAACGCAAGGGCCCCAGGAAATACCGGCAACTCAAGGTATTATGTGTGGAAAAGTAAAAATAAGGTTACACGTAAGCATCGAGAATTGCTGAAATCAAAGTATCAACAAGGCTGATATGAAGGGTAACGTAAGTGTTCCTATCAACCACTCAACGAGATAACTGTACGTATACCTATATCAAACTGACAGAGATAAAAGAGCCAGGTTTCAAAGTACATGGCTTCGCCAACATTTATTCTCACATCTCGCATAAAGGAAGTGCAAAGTATCGGAGAGTTTGCTATCTACGCCACTATCAACTATGCAGATTACGTACTGCGAATGAGATCCTGCAGTATGATAATGAAATACGATTACAAGCGGATTTGGTCTATTTTAAGGCACTATCATGACATTCGCCTCGAGCATAAAAAAATACAATGAAAATTAATAGGATAATCGGTATTAAGATATAATTCAACAGACTAAAAAATGCTTTAAACGATAATGGCGTATGAAAATGTTTGTCTTGCAGGATGTCGCGTCGTGCAGAGTGGTTTACCGACGTTGCAGGTGTTCGCTACTTCCATCACCATGGCGATGAGACGCCCTGATTATAAAGGCAGCAAGCACCTCTGAAACGTCTACAAATTTCTAACGGACTACACGGCGAAATATCCCAGAAGAAAATCATCTTCATATTCGTAGCCGCGAGCCTGAAATCTCACTAAGAACAATGCAACCTTTTAATAAAGCATATTTTCATATAACGCCCTATATGCATTCTATTCATGAAAGTGTCTTTCGAGGCAATGACTATTAAAGTGAGCTTACGAATATACAAACACGAAACTCAAATTTCAGTTGTTATGTGCACGCTATAAAAACTGAAAAAAGAGGCGTATTCAAGTTTTGATACAATGAACCCTCATTAAATCACCTTACTAACTTCTGTCGGGGGCAGCCAATTTTGTAGAGCATAAATTTATGACAAACCCTTCACTTCTGACGATAACAATTCTGCGACGAAATATTCAAGAAAGAGGTTTACAAATGCTAATATTTAAAGCAACTTGCACTCTTCAGTACACAACTGTTGCCTACAGTTGACCTCGATTTACTTGCACTGAAAAGCACCGAGTACCAGCACTAATTACAGATACTGGGAATAGACCAGAACTTTCACAATTACATGGTAAAATGACTAACAGTATTCCGAGAGATTCTCACTCTCCAATCAATAACACACCTTTATTTTGACGAAAGAACATTTGAACGCGTTATTTTTAACTTCAGTTCTTTAGTTTGTTTTAAGGACGGAGTTCCTTCTCTGTCTTTTGCGTACAACAATCAAATTTCATGAATACTGCCAGTGCATGTTCATACAATGGCATTACACCGGGCTCGTCCCTTTGTCGGGATGGGGCCAAGACTTTACACCGCAAAGTGAACCCAAGAAGAAGATACTGAAATTCCGGTGTGGGTATTATCAAGAATGTAACGTTCATCCCGAGTTTCATGAAAATATGTCAACGGTTATAAATACGATAACGGGATAGAAACAGTACATGAAGTCCAACAACTTTCATTATATAATAACGAAAATGGGTAAATAACTTGTAAATGCATCAAATTGGCTGTTTGTTTTGTCGACACGACTTCAATTATAAATTACCTTGAACAAATTACATTTAGACCTGTATTATACAATTAGCGTAGTAAAGAGGCCGACTGTATGCTAGAAAATGAAAAAAAAATTGTTATATTTGTTTGAAGTTCATGGAAGTAACTTTAGTTTGATTTCTTGGTTGTAAATAAAGTTTCTTTCAAACCGCGTGAAGAAAGCCATACAAAAATAAAAACAGAATATCTGAGAAATACAGTTTTCTGTTAGCTTTAATGTTTTTTTTCCTGCGCACAGCGAAAACTAAAGCGTATTTAATAAAAAAAATAATAAAAACTACCTTCTAACTTAATAAACATTTCTCATTTCATGTTATATATCACAGATTTCAGAATGGAATTGTAAAAAAAAAAAGTGCTGCAGATCTGAAGTCGTCTACAATAACATCGTATAACAAAAGGCTATAAAGACAGGCTTCAGCAACATGGAAATGAATAATAAACTCAAACCCCGATACAGCGCCACTTATTGCCCCCACGAGAATGCCCCCGACAGCCGCCATCTTGCAACATCAGCGGCAATACAAACGTGCCGTTAAGCATAACAATCAAGTCCGATACAGCGTCACGTCAATTTGATTCCACCGGTTACACTAATTCCTCCATGGAACGTTCAGTTGTAAAAAATTACGCCAATAATTTTGAGTTAATAAATACTCAGGGAAGAAACTACCTTTACCGCCTCGGGGAGGGAGCATTTATCCCAGAATGGTGGACAGCCTTACAACAGTTTTGAAAAGAAGGAACGAATATGTCAAAGCGAGAATATAATGAGATCTACTTTCTTTGAGATGGGCTCTCTCGTGTCGAAAACAGCTTGAAATGATCGTCGCCGTTTTCGTCAGAGTCCCATGAATTAGGCACAGTGGCCTGCTACGGTTCCTTACCGGAGTTTAAATTGTCTCTACAAAGATCGCCCCATCTGCTGCTAACGGACAATTTATTTCTTCTCAAATTATCTCGCCTGATAATGCCCAACTAAAGCAAATATTAATAGGACATTCTGCACAAATTACCCCTAAGTCCACGTTCTTATAAACCACGCATACTTGTTAAATTTATTTTAAGTCTTCAGCAAACAAGTGGCACGATAGCAGCATTGGCACCGTTTGTTTTCGAAACACAAGCAGTCTATAAAATACCCATAAAATTCTGCAAGAAAATTATACATAATTAATAACTTATGTTTCAACTCACCATGAGATCCTAATAGTTTATAAAACCTATATTCCAGATGAAGTTGCGGTGCTTTTGACTTCATCGGTTCCTGTAAACGAAATGACAAGATATCACTTATCACAGGATACAGGCCATGGAACAATTGGCAGGGTCATTAGCACTCACCAGATGGAAGGTTTGCATTATTTAAAAACACACGAATAACCATCTTCATAGCAATTCTTCAATGGGTTTACATACACACGCAAAAGCTTTGTACATCAACTAAATCACGAACAAATCGGATTCTATTTTACAAAGATAATAATGACCGACATGGATCATGATTAATATACATAATAGGGTGTTATGTTTTAAGACACGGGTCAAATAGGAGGTGCGTAGTCTGGCAAAAATGTACCAACATTTGCTACCTCCAACATCAGGGCGATACTGGAGGAAGCAAGGACCACCAAAACATTGGCAAACTTCTACCAGACTACACGCCGCTACAACTCAGAAGTCAACCACCTTCGGACAAAGCGATGTCAATATAACCTTGGTGGGGCGGCAACTTCTTCGTCAGTGGCACACTGCGTAAAGTCTAAACAGCGTTTCAAAGGCGTCGTGCATAAATGGTATTAAAAAAGTCGCAGACGTATCAGGGAATCTGATTTGAAATATGTGTGCTCAACTGTCTATAATCGACGAAGATTTAACTGAAGTCCATATTTCCAGTTAAGTTAGTTCTCAGAACACCGAAAAATAACTTTTAATGCCTCATTCAAAATTCCACTGCAAGCACAGAAAGACATAATCTGCTTGTACAGAGGAATATAAATGTACCACGGAAAAGGTTGACTAACGACAGAAAGTGAGTGTGGACTAGGAAACTTACCATTTTGATGGCTACATGCTCGTTGTTGTACAAGTTCTTTCCTGCAAACAAAAAAGAAATAACATTATTAACTCCATGTTGACACCACATTTAAGACGTGGATACAAATTACTGATCAGCAGCGCTGGAAAGTGAACCTATTTGTCGGCAAAGCTTCCGATTTCAAAACAAAATTGGTATGGTGCACTAAACAAAAGAATAACACAATTTCCATACAGTCAATCTTCTTCACTATTTTGCATACGTAATTGACTTTGGTATTCATTTATTCCAGATACAAATCAATCTACTGGCGCAGATTTGTATATACACTCCATACAGTCATAAAATTATTTTCCTAGCCTTTCGTTAATTATTCATTGCATAAAGAATGGCTTAAGAAAAGTTACAGACCTCAATAAAAACTATCACGTACCAAATGTTCACTCTTCGAGATTAAAAGATAACTCCGCTATAAATTTCGTGTGAGCAGAGGTTATATAAAACAGAAATTAACTAAACTTATGTTCTCTAAACAATTTCTCGTGTCGACCCACAACACCAAATTTAATGACAATTTGTTCTGCAGTCTCCGAGATTAAGCAAGTATTAGTTTTATTCAAGAAATACAAAATCACCCTCACTTGTGGCAAATATTCTACTTAAAAACGCTGCAATGAAAGCAATTTTTAGACTGGAAATATACACTTTGCAGACAATGTTTCTCCACTTTACATGCTGCTGGCAAATTTACAAATGTTACAGCAATGCGGATCTAAATTGCGACGATTTCTGAAGGATACGAGATAAAGAATTAAATAATGGATACATAACATCGAAAAACAAAATAGAAAACTGCATTTAAATGCAAGCTATATTACGTAACTTATAGTTAGTCCTATTCTACAGGGCAGTCTACTGGGTTGATAAATCCACATACTATTAAGAAGTATTGTTATTGATCGTACGAGTTAAAAGGAGATGAAAATAAGTTTCTTTTTGGACGTGAGGCTTTTTATTCTGTGTAGTCGGTTTCTGTGGGAATGGTTTAGTACAGGCATATACGAGTTGAATAGCATATCATGAAGGGTATCCAGGAGAACGATTGTGGCAGTTTATACTTTTCGTGTATCCCCGGTGTTTAAGAACCATGCTATGGATGCCTATGGGGGCAAGTTAAAGATCCCCGGTTTCTAGACCCTGGCATTAGATAGAAATGGGTGGCCAGCTTCATGCTCCCTCTGCTTTACTCCAGAGGAAAATGACGCGGTATCTACTGAAATGCAGACCGGTGACAACCAAAGCCGTTCTGGACTTAGAGGCTTTCAGAAAATCGAACCCCTGTCCTCCAGCTTGTAGCCTAATACTTTACTATCTCAGCTCATATTGTGCAAATTTGTCTGTAGAAACCAGCAGAGGGTGATAAACGAAAACATAAGTAATATATAGCAGCCTACTACTACTACTACTACTACGAGTGATAGATATTAAATTACGATATACTGTAAATGGCAGGACAGTGGATGTGACCCAACAGACCGAAATACCGTGTTCCTGAAATAGGCCTGTTCATACGAGCTGAAACAATGTCATTATTTGTAGGAGAAGGAATACCCGGATCAGATATTGACCAAGGCTCATCTATACCGGTATAGAACTTCATTACGCGGCCAATTTGCTTTTTCATTACCCCCCCCCCCCCCCCCCCCAACGTCATGCATCTCCAACAACTTCGCAGAGGATAAGCGAGAAACAAAAACAAAATGTTAAACAGGCCTACGCAAAACCGGGTACCCTCCTTCCAGCTCAAACACCCATTTGCTAAGGCAAGCGCCAAAACTGCGTTAAGATAAATCACAACATTAAAGCAAACACGACGCCCGTATTTAATATGTTGCTTTACGATAATCCACATATTTAACGGAAGATCCAGCTTTAGCAACAGCGGTTATACGGAACTGCGATCCACGTTTGTTTCTCCCGTACAAAATCCCACATTCCACCGCATTGCTTTGAGGCAAGTTTCGCAGACAGAAGGGCCAAAGACACACTTCAGAAATTTAATTTTCGCTATCTGCGCGACTGTCAGCTTCTCAAGTACTCTGCCCCACAAAATTCAAAAGGGAAACTAGTTCTGTGAAGACATACATATCACCACTTTCCAGGCAAACTTTGTTTATGAACGCAGCGAAACGTTGACGATGTCTGCAAAATATGCACCTACGTTAGCAGCAGTATTCTCAAAGAAAAATTAATATAAAATGCATAACGTTCGATGGGTCAACGTTTTGATTTCAGTAACAATAAATGCACATACGGAATTCGTGATACAGCAATTTTATTTTTGTAGCTGCTAAAATGTATAATTCCATTTAGAAGGAAGATAAGAATAACAACATATACTAGCCTATGTGATAATAGGGATATTGCAATGACTTACATTGATTCATTTTTAAAAGATGTCCAAACGCTTTATTTAATCTACAAGTGGCGATGTGTCTGTTAAGACTTACTACTATGCTCAAAGCCAGTAATGGTATACTTGGAGTTTCAAAATATAATTAAAATGCAGTCTTTAAGTTGTTCCCCAAAAACAAATTCGAGGGCATGCCAGACACCTTTGCCAGAGAAAACATCAGCGGCTCCAGCATCGGGAAGTCGTTGACATTTTCTTGTGGTTACATATAACGGAAAGTTTACTTTACGTGATTAATACTCGTTGGAAGAAGCTGCAGATGACACAGTATGCTAATCGTTCAGAAGAAGAAACAACACGAGTCTGCTCTCAAAACCAAATCTCCGGACATTCTAACAAAGGCGCACCCATGTATACACGTCATTCATTTGTCGAGGGCGATGAGGTGGCGCGCGACTAACATATCAACTGAACCTCGAATACAAGATGCCTAGACGGAGCCCTGCTCGATTTTTATGACGCCAGTGCAAGCGAACTACATGGCAGCAGAAAGTTCAAACCCATAGTCAGGCCTGTTGCTGACAGAATGTCGAAACAAGTACCTCAGCGACATGATACCAATATCGGACAAATCTGCACACAGTATCACAAGACGCATGATATAGAATATGGCTGGTTTTCGTAACTGTCAGGCCTATCAAGAAGGAGTATTAATCTTAAAGCTTCTCTGTAATCGACGAATCAAAGTGTAAGGAGAGAGTGTGTGGTGTAATGTACTATGTTGTATTCGGTTCACAAGAGGATGGGCACCTTCAACTGCGTCCCACATATAAGGGCCACTTATACGAAGTTCTTAATTTTGCTGTTCAGATTATTTTCAATCCAGGTTTGCGATTTCAAAATACGGGACAAGATACTTAATTTATTTTTCATGGGAACACCATGGCTTCATTATACGAACACCAAGGACAATACAGAACGTGATCATTCACTGCTGCCAGTTTTCCTAGGAAAACCAAACAGGCCAGAAATTTGTTATAATTTATCCGGGACCTAAATATACACAGGCCTACATACATCATGATTAAATATGGCACCTTTCCCTGAACATGGCGTCATTAATGCATGGAGACTATTGTGCTTTTGAAGTGTCGTGTTAAAAAGAATCTTAGTCGAATGGGGTAACACACGAGGAAAGCTACTTAAGAACTAGAGTGCATAAGCTCGCACACTTGCCTACAACATCTTTGTACGAGCTCATTCAGCTTACTGAAAATGGAACATGAAGATCTTTCTTCAAACGCGTAATTGCGTACACCATAAAAGTTTTCCGGAAGGGTGAAATTATAGTAATTAAGGGCCTAACCGGTGGGTGGCTTTGCCAACAACAGTTGTAATACGGCTACCGAATCTTGCTAATAGAAGACTATGCTAACAACACAATAAAAACGTAGACCCTAATAAGTGATGTCATAAAATGAAAGAAGATTGATTGATACCTCCACAGCAGTATCCAAAACCTTTATTAAAGGCATAAGCTTTCTATTAGCACGAGACAAAAAACAATTTAAGAGGCATATCTGCTATTTTTTAGTCAATGTTTCTGCCAGGGCTACAAGTATTTTATCAACATGGACTGTAGATAAACCACGGAATGGACATATTTACATTCATCATGGAAACCGCTCTCTCCTTTCGTACGTCAGAACTGCATATAAATGTGCAAGTAATGGAAGTACTGACGATGCACCGGAATCCAAAATACTATAGGCCATTTACCGAGCGACAAATTCTGAAGAGGGAGAGCTTAAATTTGTTTGGGCAGCTTCCGACTAACAATGCCAATGCAACAAGCCAACAGCCACTGAGTATTAACTATTATTTATTATTCATATTCTTACTCTTTTCATACCAAAATCCTTAAATGGGGGGAATAAAGGGAAACGGAACGAGGTACAGGAGGGAAGCACGGAGAATGAAAAATAGATTGGGAAGGACCCTCCCCCAGAGGGGTTGGTCGACCAAGCGAACAGGGGCAGAGAAATAATAAATACGAATAGACCGATTCAGTGAAAATTCTAACTGCACTTGGAAATTGCATCAGCTTCCAATGGACATACTGTACGAGGTGCGATCGGAAAGTTTCAAGACTGTGTCAATAGCTGGCGAACCGGATGTAGTACGAGCTTCTGCCTTTAGGGGGTGCGGCCTACATTCATAGTGAATCAGTGTGCCAGCCGGCATCATCGAATTAGCATTTGTTTCTTAGTTACGGGCGTTTTGGTAGTGCATTACACCGACCCTCCTGCGATTTCGGAATGGCGGATTTTCATGAACAAATCAAATTTTGCCAAAGACTCGCCAAAACGGCTACGGAAACCTATGAAATCCTAAAGCAAGCATTTGGGGAGTCCGCAATGGGTCGTGCACAAACGTTTGTGTGGCATTCACGTTTTAAAAATGACCGAACCTCTGTCGATGATG